ATAAATTCAACATTTAGATTTATCGATGGCGTTTTATCTCTAAACAATGTTCATTTTAATTTATTTCCACGTTCATTCGATATATCCCTTTGAACTCTAGAGGAAAAATACCACAGAGTCTGACAAATCTGTTTCGTATTTGGATATTTTACTTGAAAAAGACCATAATGGTATAATCTAACAACAGAACTTTATGATAAGGTGAACGTGTTCACTTCAACTTTTCCATCTAAAACTTCCTCTTTTATGTAAGTAATATACCATTTTCACCTGCAGATGGGATGTATGTCTCTAAGATGATTCGATACACAAGAACATGCTCTAAGTTCGCACAGTTTCTGACACGAAGCAAGCAAATGACAAATAAGTTTGAAGCTTTAACAGTTTTCTAGTTGGTCAATATTTAGCAAATTCTATGGTCGATATAATGTCCTTGTCAGCAAATACAATATATCATGAAGTTGTATGTAAACAGAAGTTTTTCAAATACATTGTTAAGCCATTTTTTACACTGAATTGTCCGCATTTTTTTTGTTCGTTTACCCTATCATGACAAGGAGCACATAGCTGATGTGATAGGGGATGTTTACGCCACTATGGCACCTGATCCCATATTTCTCTAGAGGTCCGTGTTTGCTCTGCTCCTGATTGGTATTACCGAGTTTATTAATAGACTTTTGATCATGGTTACTGTTCGTTATCTGCAACAGTTCTGCAGCAAACAGTAAGCAAGTTTTATAATATCTAATACATTTCAACTCATTATCAAGTTATGGCAATCATTGCAAGGTTTACTTCATTGCTAGTACTCCCAAATGCTAGTAACTACGTAAATCTTTCTTGACTTTATTACCTAAAATACAATCATGGATTCACTGTTCTAAGTCCATTTTGTTTAAGTATCTTAAAAAAAGTATAATCTAAAGTTTCGTGTTTAATGTCTTATCTTTGTTCTTATGATGCCAAGACTAGAAATATCAAAATTACCTTCCTGGATTGTTCCAACAAGTTTGGAAAAACAACAATGGATATTTTCCCGAGTTTGCAAGAAAGACCTAAGAAGGTGCGATTGCTAAAAAGAAAAAAAATACGCCAAAAAAAATTTGAACTTAATGTTTCCAAAAAATTATGGGTTTTTTTTTCAAAGGTTCAAATCAAAAGGTCAAAAATTTGATACCCAAAGAAAGATATGTATATACATAGAATATACGTGTAAAATATAAAAGCCTTATAGCTCAAACATTAACATTTTGCACAAGTAACTTAACTTCCAAGGAGAGGATCAAGAGATCAAATATGGAAAGAACGGTCTTGGCAGAAAAAAAAGAGTGAAAACAGAGTCCTTGCACTAATCATTCCAAAGTTATCGGTAAAAGATGATAGTTTTTGTAAACAAACGGCAAGACACAACTATTGCATTTAGTTGAAAGTAACTTTGAAAGAAGTTCACCCCTTGAAAACTTCTGCTGGACCGATTGACAGTGATGATATGTTCAATGCTATCTCAACTTACTACAATAACTGACATCTATTTTGATATTATCTATACCGTTTAGATAATACCAAAATTATAGGGTTTTTTTGTTTACATGTCGTATAGACTATACGACATGTAAACAAAAAAACCCTATAATTTTGGTATTTTTTAAAATAACTTCTTTTGCAAAGATAAATGATACCTATAAAGTCAAATGATGCTATATGATGAATTTTGTTATCCACTGTTCTGTGTCAAGTAGGCATTCTACTTAATATTTATTTTTTCAATACTGAGTTGTATTTTTCTGGAAGTTTACAGCTGTAGTACGAGATCATCGAGGGTATGAAAAATGATAAAACATTTTAGGCAATGTATACACTTTCCCCCTCAAGGGAAATTGATAATTTTCATCAACGACTTTGTGACATTTGTTTATAAAATGTTTCAATCCAGTGCTCTAAATCGATAAAAACAGTATCCATATCTGAAATAAATCATATTTCATTACTGTATTAAAAAATAAAGCTGCATGGCACTGCAAAAAAAAGTGAAACGTCAAAATAATGTGGATCGATTAAGCAAAACTAGTATTTCGTGTTCACAGCTGTTGTTTGATTTGGTTTTTGTTTTTGTCAGCAATCAAATGGCTGTGTGTTTGTGATATATTAAAGTAGCACGGTATGTTACATGAAATATGAAGATAACCAGCAGAAATCAAGCTCAAAAGTCCATTGTAACTGTACAAACAAGTAGCAGATCAAAAAACATCAGAGGTGGGATCAGGGGCCTTGAAGGAGTAAGCATCCTCTACCGATCGCTCACCCGCCAAAGTGCTCCTTGTCATAATCGAGAAAAAACAAAAATCAGTTGGCAATTTTTATGTGAAAATAGAGACCTAACAATTTGTATGTAAAATGTCAATCAACATTCAATTTAAAGATAGGCTGTATTTGCTGACAAGTTCATTGTATCAATCATAAATTTTCCGAGATTTTGATTTGAAACGAGACCGTTTCTATCTTTGTATCGGGGACTTGTTTGTCAATAGCTTACCTACTTTTAGAAACTGTTCATATACGTAAAGCATATTCTTGCATATGGAATCAACTTGGAGACATAAACTACATTTACATGTGATACATGTATATTGCTACATGAATTAAGATAATTTGACGATAGAAAAGTTGAAGTCATCACGTTTATCATAAAGTTTTGTTGCTATTTTGCCATTAATTTTTTTTATCAAATGTTAAAGTTGGTGTGTTAAGTGTCTTTTATTTTGCCATTAATGTTTTTTTTTACTTTCATGTAAATTATGAATCCAACATGTTAAAAAAACACCCGCTGAATAATGAAGCCACGCCCTCCAGCGTGTGTTGACGACGGTTGGTATTTCAAAAAATAGGTCTGCGCAGAATTTATGCGCGCACGGTTCACTGTTATATGGATTTGTATAAAACATTCAGTATGATATAATAAATATTCACATGAGTGTAACCGAAGGAATGAAAAATGAATATTGTACTACATGCAATATTTATATAATGTTAGATGATCTGTTTTGTTGTATCTGTTGTGTTGCTTTTTGAGGTATTATTTCTGCTGGATTCGTAGCTTGTTGATTTCTGCTTTTTGCTCCATTGGTGTCTTTTTGTTCCTGATATTGACGACGTGCTTGCACTTACAATGTATTCTATTTTTTATTTGTTGGTAAAGATGATATTCTAGTTTTAAGTCTGGTGTTGTTCTTGCTGGTGTATTGATGTTGATAGTGAGTTGGTTATAGCGGTGCTCTGGGAAGTTGTTTCTTATGATTTGATTTTGGTGTTTATATTATTAGTTGGAATGTTGTCGATATGAAGTTGTTGGTTGTTATAGTTGTTTTATGTCAGTTGTGATAATTCTGTTGGTAGTTTTTTGTTTGTTTGTTTCTCACTCATATGGAGACGCCACCACTTGCCGGTGGAGAGCTGCAAATTTTGTCCTAGACTTGGCACGTTGGGCCATTGAGCAGGGAGGGATCGATCTTTTTCATGCAGCGCCTAATGTGATACGGCACCTCGGTTTATACAATCTCATCCTATGAGCCGGTCTCCACGTCGATCCCATGATGGGAATCGAACCCGCGACTTACGTGTTCTTGTAAGCAGAGGTAATATGGCGGTGGTTGCTTTATGTCAGTAGTGATGTCATTAATTGAATGTTTAATGTTATTGTAAGTCATAAAAAGAGATGATGATCTGCTTTAGTAATAATATTGAATGGTAGCAGATATATATATGTATGCATATGTTTTGTATCTCTTGGTTTTATTTAAAAAAATATACATATTTGTCATTGTCTTCTGATTTCTACACTGTTTTCAAAATGGTTTTACATATTCTTGATATGTCATTAAGGGTTATATAAGAAACATGACCCTATGGTAAATGTCCAAATGCCTGGTAAGGTATCCTAATTTTTGTGAGGAATCTTGTTTAAGTTCCTATACTTCAATGACAAATTCTTAGGAAAAATTATATATTTTTGAGGAACGTGTCGTCTAACCTTAACTTCTCTCAATTATTCTTTTGTCATTAAAAGTACCGAGCAACTGTGTAGAACATATCCAACCTTCATTCCTTCGATGTTTTGTCCAAAGCATGATACTTTCAGTATCATTTGGAATCAACGATGCTGAATGTCACGTTGAAGCAATGCACGCAGACTTGGCCTTTCAGTCTTATACGTTAAAGACATTATGATGGTATTGAGATATCAAGTGGTTTTAAGGTTGCAATGAATAAAAATGTATTTGAACTTATAATATGCGTCTTTTACTCCAACGTGCGTCATTAAAGTGAAAACATTCGGCATTTTACTCTCTCCCTCAAACTTCTAATAATATTAAGGAGCCAATCGGAAAAAATACGTACGAGATTATGATATAATGAGATTCATTAGAATTTTTGTCTTGATTTTACGAATTTTCACTTAAGGTATAAAGGTTGAATTTAAGATCAAGGCAATCATTAAAGGTAAAGGCCTAATCTCGATTTAAAGAATACTTACGACTGACACCAAAATGTTTTCAGCTGTTTTTATAATCAACCTAAGTATTTGGTCTCAGTCGTAAGTTACAAGTATTTTTTTTTAACATAGATGCAAGACTATGAAAAAAGAGTATTTTTTGGCGATATAATTATCCATTAGAGGCAACTGATCGAATTTCAAAATCGTACACAAATCATTGTACATGGGAGAACAGAAAAGGTATTGTGGAACAGCTGCATGTATCATTAACATTGATCTACCGTATATTTCTAGTACATCTAAAACTTTGAAAAGTATTCACTATCAAAAGGAAGTTTATTCTTTATGAATCATAACCAAAAAACAGAAACAAAGACACAAAAAACTACATTTGTTGCCATAGAAAAATATTTTATTATTTATTTTCACAATTTTGATACAAAGAAATAAGATAATACAATATCATATTTTTTATTTCAAAATAAGATACAATAATATAATAGTTCCTATCATAAATAATCTACTTTTAAAAGTTTTAATGTTAAAAACAATAATAGACTTTCGTAATGATAACAATGTATTTATTACAGTCAAAAAATATTAGGAGCAAAAAAAATGATATTGTTCCCATAAATCAACAATGTCATGGAGTATAGTTCAGAACTTGAGACAAAACTTTTTTTTTAATTTTAAAACCTAGACACTTCCCAGTTGAAAGCTGAACATGCTTTTAAGGTTGATTAAACTGCAAAACTTAAAACTCCATTATTGCAATTCTCATAAAACAATATAATGCAAGAGGGAAATGCAAGCTGAACATGTACAAAGCAAAAGCATGTATGCATAAACAAATAAAATACACAGTATAACCATTCCGGAGTGAGGAAGCACATTAAATCATGTCATTCGGTAAGAATGTATCCACTAGAGTATGTGAAGACTGAATGTATTTTTGCATGCACCTTCTTGACGTAGATTTTTCCTGCGCCTTGAAGAGAATGATTTCCCATGTGCACTTTTGCACTTCCTGGAAGTTGCTACAATGATGCTTTGACATTAGTATGGAGGTGACCGTTATAAAAATCCCAAGATGCAGATGCCATGTTTAAACTATTTCTATTCATAACATTACATTGTATCATCAGAATGGAATTCTTAAGATCATTTCTTTAAAAACAACAATTTTTATCAATTTTTTTTTCATAATAATTTTCTTACAAAAATTAAATAGGTTTTATCAAAATGATCAGGTAGTAAAAATAAAGATATTCATGATAATGCTGAACTCTCATTCATAAAAAAAATTATTTAAAACAACTAGTTCACAACCGTCTTGACTGAAATACGTTAACATTTGCACTTAATCACTCGTTTGATGTCTTTATAATAATATACCATTCTTATTTAGTCTTATTATTCATTTGATCACATGTTTGTAATGGCGCACGATTTTATGAAATAAAACAATGGTTGATTTCAAACATTAAACGAGTTAAGCAAAAAAAAAAAAAAAATACTCATTATCATCTATTACTTTCCGAAGGAAAATATCTAGACTTCAAAGGAAAGGAATGGGGCTTAAAGAATCGCTTAAAGATTACAGAAAAAAAGTTTGGTATAAATTACATGCTTGCAGTCAGGGAGTGAAACGAGGGGGAATATATTTTATTGAATTGGTTTACCATAACTAGTGTAACGTATTCGTGTAATACAATACAAATATATGTATATCCCCCAAAATTACCTCCACTTAAATCATCATACAAATATTTTTTCTACGAGATTGTAATAATTTAAATTGTAGATAATTTAAAAAATCGCGCTGATTTTGTTTCTGTAAAGTGATAACAAAATTTTGCCAACCTGTTTCTACCTTAACTTGTTATAAACTACATAGAACAGAAAAACCATCCAATAATAATGGAAACTTGCTCTCTAAGACTACAAAATAATGCCTACATTAATGCATTTTCTATTTTTAAAGAATGTATGTAAAGAATGGGGTTGTAAATGTAATTAATTCAAAAAAAAAAAAACAAAGGCACAAAACAATGATCCTTTTAAGGAGATTTAAAAGGGTGAATACATATACCATGGGTGGTATCAACAAATGACATACCAATGATAATTATATATGTAGATATATATTGTACATTTAGCAAAAATAAATATGGCTATGAGTGTATTGTTATGAATATGTACACATACATGTATATAGATATATATCTTATATCTGACCAGTATTTACATACATCATAAAAAATAAGATCATCTAAAAGGAGTGAAATAAATTATCTGCCAAAATTAATGGACCTCTTTAGAACCTTCACCACAATATTTAGTGAGAAAACAAAAAGGAAGCCATGAGGGCAATGGGGTTGTCATCGTCTATGCCAAAGGTTCATTTATACCAAAAGAACACAAAATCAAACGGACCCTATAAAGTTTCACAGAATAATTTTGTTTTACCGTTCACAAACAGGGTTAAAAAAATTAGTTCTGGCAGGGTTGTACTGCAGCAGCAAATTTTGCCTTCATTTGAATCCCAAGAAACAACTAAGAAAGCAAGCCCACGCCCCCAGATAATAGAATCTTAAGTGGCCAATACCCAGTGAAGGTAACCTGTAAATATCGATAGTAAGAGTGATATTTGTCACCAGAGGCTGATATTTTATCAGTAGAAGACACAAAGGAGGTTTACCTTTGTAGGCAGTTGTTGTTAAGATTGGGAAAACACGTGGGCAATACCCCTAATTACAAGAAGGAACGTTGATTCCTACACTAACGTAAAATGAATGAAAATGCCCTGCTGAGAATCGATAACATATCGACAAGCCATTCCCCATTATTGAGAAAAGAATGTGATTATTACTTTAACATTTAATTATGCTACTGAAATCAATGAAAATGTGATGATCTTATAATCAGGATATAACGCAAGTATGTTAAAACCCAAAGAATTCGGTTCTAAAAGAAATAGAAAATGGCCTATGTCTACCATAAAGCAAAAAGTTTTTATCTTTTTAAAAACAGAAATTTAGAATCTGAATTAAAAATGAAGCAAAAAAGTAGCATAATGAAGAAGTTACTGTTGCGTTCTTTAAGAGCAATTGACCCTCTTTTAGGTTTATTTGGAATAAGATGTATTTGACCAAAAAATAAGGTGAAAAAACCCTGATGGCAAACGGTAAAATGTGGCATAAGATGTATCGAGTAGCACCAGGACTTAGCCACGCGTGTGAAGCAGAAAGGATAAAACAGGTGATAGGGACCCCTCTTATTATCGTGAGAGTGTACCTTGGCAGAGTCGTGACCCACATGTCCCCAGATTAGAAGATATTTACACGTTTAAATACATACAAATTTGTACAAGCGTGTCATAACAATAAACTATCTTAATACAGGACTTAATACAGAACTTCATTTAATACACGTGAAGATATTTATAAATTACTTTTTGACATGCCCTTAGGTAGAAGTATTTGCAGCTGGTTCCATTATAGTATTGAGTATTTCAGTTGCGCTGTCCAGAAATTAAAGAACAACATATGATTATTTCTTGTCCTCTATGTGTTTCCGAGATTCTCTTTTGTACACATTTCAAGTTTAACTTCATGTCAGGGTTCGTGATGGAAGTTGTAAATGATGGGGGGTTTTGGCCATGGAAACTAGCATGCTATTAGAATATCAATGGATTCATTTTCCTATTGGTTGATGGAATTAGAATCCGGAAACTAGACGCCACATTTCTCAAGCAAATAATTTACAAAAAATACAGCAGAAGATCCACGTGCCCGGAATATAGCGTGACAGAATAAACGCCGCGAACACAAGATGGAATTCATTAATGAGCTCCGAATGATAATGTCGAATATCCTCATTTTGTAGCAATCCAAAATCCACGAACTTATACAAAACATTGACATTAGCACGGTCGTCTGTCAGTGATTTATGGAGATGAAATCCTTTTCATGAGAAATTCCGAGCATCAGTGTTGTATAAGGAAGAATTCTCATTCGTGTCTTCTATATCCACGCTGTCTACCGTTTCCACACTCAGAATGCTTTCAGTCTCTTCCTCTACATTTGTTTTTGAGGAGCTATCAAAGCTGTAAGGAGTCTTTTCGCCACGCATTTCACATATCACATTTGTCAAGGCTTTGATGTAGTTCTTGGCTAAGGTTAAGGTTTCAATCTTGGAGAGTTTTCTGTCCAATTTGATGTGGGGTATCACCTCTCTCAGGTCACCAAAAGCGTCATTCAAGGAGTGCATTCTTTGTCTTTCACGTTCATTGCTTTCGAGGCGACGTAGGTTTCGTTCTCGAGCGTTGGACGCCTTTCGACGTTTTGATGACTTTTTAGGGCTTTTCATTTTTCTCTGTTCTCCATCATCTGTCATGTCTGTTGTAGAGCTGGTTCCCGAATCTGAGGGCGAGGCTGGCCCTTCACGTCGGGCTCTTTTTCTGATTTGATAGTCTGTGGCCCTCAGCCCGGGCAAATCCCAGAATCCTTCAGCAGTCGTCTGCTCGCTGTCCTCAACCATGTCGTCTTCAAGCCTGGCACTCATGGCGTGGTGTTTGCCTCGCATCACCTGCAAGGAAAGAGAAAAGTTGAAAAGTTACCAGGAAACTCTGTCATTTTTCTTTCGTCATTAAATTACAAACTTTAAACCAAGATCATTTAATTTGTGATTTACCTATAACCTGCACTTCAAAAAAGGTTAATCGCACAGGTAAATTATCATAATTTCGATATTTTTAAAAGAGAGACATCTGACGCAACTAAGGTGGAAGGGCGATCATTTCGTTTCCGTGTCGTGCTGACGTTGGAATAATTAATTGTACACTGTCACTATATTTACAAACTTTTTAAATAAAAGTTTACAAGAACTGTATCCTCGTGTTTGAAGACTCTTCTATCAAGTGCATGTCTTGGAGAGTTTATATTTAGTTTTGGCTATTGATTGACAGAACAAAACCTTCGTCATGCATAGACTTTCTCACGACAGAGAGATAATGCCTTGATTTCAGTCCACGGTTTACTTTCATAGCCATTTAAACATTCAATACAAATTGTAACAAAACTTTATAACTACATTTGTTTTTCTTTGCACAATACATCAGATGTCCGTGTTTTGACTGGTGGATCAGAATCAAGACGTGCACTGATCTAAATTTAAACCTCATTGAACGCCCCCACAAAATACAAATAATTTTCTCTCATTTACCCCAATTAATCGATCCACGAGGACTAATGTATTTAAATTGTTGCTTTGTAAACCCCGCTGCTTCTTTGAATGAATTTGATTTCAGCATGAAATGTCAAAGATCGAGCACAGATGTACGAAAGCCCAGAAGGCTCATTCGAGATTCGAGATTCAAAATACGAGATTCGAAATTCGAGATTCGAAATACGAGTTTCGAGATTCAAGATCCAAACTAACCAATCAAAAGCGGATTCAACATTTGATTACTCCCCTTTATTATGTTTTTACTATCAAGAAATCGTTTAAAATAATTATAACCAATGGGTCATTTGATTAAATTACAATGCAAAAAAGAGTGTTTTATATATATTAGAAGGAAATTTAAATAATTATTGGATTTTTGCAGCAAGATATACTTCAATTTATATTATAGCTTCTTAAATATTAAATAGATTACATATATCAGGAGTATATATATTTTTGTATTATCTTCTACACTTATTATTTTTTTTTTTGTATTTCCGCGCATAGGAAAACCACAGGTACTTGTGGACAGGACCCCTCCCCCTCCCCCCTCCCCCCTCGATATTCAATACCAGGGCTTACTGGACAATTTTTTAACAAATTATATTTATTACACTTATTAATGTGTACAATACGAAAACATCACGGGCGTAAAACCCCCAGAATAATCGTTTAACCAAAAAAAAAAAAAAAAAAAAACAATTATACATTACCCCACCCCACTATACAAGAGAGGTGTCATTTAAGGAGAAAATATGGGATTATTACGAGATGCAGAGTCAATCCGATAGCATGGACTAAGACAGAAATATATGTAGAGACAGTTAATTTTAATCAACATTTTAAGTTAAAATAAATGCATGATTTTAAACCTAGAAATAGCAGCGGGCGTACAACGTAAACAAACTGGAGTGCACGTGGCATATTTTCTCTCTTATAATGTATAGTGGGGTATTTTTTGTGTTGAGCGATTATTCTGGGTTTTTACGATTTTTTTTTGGCATTGAACACACGATGAATAAGTGTATTAGATATATGTTGTGAAAAAAGTCCAATAAGCCCTGGGGTTGAATATCGAGAGGAGGGGGGGATGCCCTGTCCACAAGTACATTTGGTTTTCCTATGCGGGAAAATACATAAAAATTAACTTTAGACAATACAAATAAATATATATACTCATGATATAAGTAATTTTTTTTAATATTTAAGAAGCTATAATTTAGATTGAAGTATATTTTTCTGATCAAAAATCCAATAATTATTAAAATTTCCTTCTAATATATATAACACTCTTTCTTGCATTGTAATATAATTAAATGACCCATTAGTTATAATTATTTTAAACGATTTCTTCATAGTAAAAACATAATAAAGGGGAGTAATCAAATGTTGAACCCGCTTTTGATTGGCTAGTTTGGATCTTGAATTTCGAATCTCGAATTTCGAATCTCGAATTTCGAATCTCGTACTTTGAAACTCGCTTCTGATTGGTTAGTTTGGATCTTGAATCTCGAAACTCGAATTTCGAATTTCGAATCTCGTACTTTGAAACTCGAATCTCGAATGAGCCTTCTGGGCTTTCGTACAGATGACTTTTATTGTCGTGCTTCTCTCCAAAAGGTCACCATGTAGATAAACATGAAATCTCTCATAATTTGTTCTTTCCCTTTTTTTAGCATCATAATTCACTTAGTGATCAAAAAGACATGCATGCATTCTAGGTAAGGTGGATTTTGGGATAAAATTACTGACATTCTTTTCTAAGAAGTGGACAAAGTCGGTACACAGGACAGAGACGAAGAACTAGCGAAATCAGAATAAAGGCCGTAAAATCTGACAATGTGTCCCATTCATTTCAAATGACATTTTATTATCAAACAACGGTGTATTACTAGCGGCAAACGATCAATCAAAAAATTGCTCTGCAATAATAAATTATTGGGAGTACTTCGTTTTGGTTCTTCTGGGACAAGTCCCTGGTATAGTTGTTAAATTAAATGAGTAATTAAAAAAATATTGAATTTTTTTAACCAGTTAAAACATTTGTCTGCGGTCTTTTGATGCCTGAGTCATTAAGGACAGTATGACTATTATATTTTTTGTAAATATGTCATGTTCACTGGTAATCATGTAAGACCGAATGTGATTTTTGTTCAATTTCCGCCTGCTCTGTCATTTTTAGTTTGCTATACTGATATTTGGCTATCTCTTTTGAATATATCTGAGGGAAAGTCTTCAGAGTCATTGTAAATTTGTTTAAAGTAGTTGCAGACATGGTAAGGGGACATAACCGGTAATTTACTCGGATGTGCTTATTCCTATAAAGAAAAGAACCTTATAACAGGGAAGTTGCCTGGATTCCGAGGAATGCTGCAGCTTCGAGTACATAGAGGGATTCCAACGGAGATAAAACAACAGTCCATATCAGTGACCCTAAACTTCCCATACACCGCCTCTCTCTCTCTCTCTCTCTCTCTCTCTCTCATGGCAAATGATAGTGCAGTAAATCAGAAGCTGACAAACCCTTTATCTGTGTGACATATAGCGTATAGTTGCGGAGGTTATAAATGATCAAATAATGCATCAATCTGTAACATTTTTTTTAAAAAGCGACGTTTCCTTAACGCTTCAAACAATTAACATTTCCCTGAAACAAGCATCTGTGTTTATTTGAATCGATTGTCATTTCCCTGTATGTGACGAGTTTGTAAGGCATTTTTCTTTTCGTAGAACGGCTAAGAAAACCTTGAATTTGTTCTGTCACAAAAACTGACAGAAACTAACGAGAGCTTGTCCTTCTTGACGACTAGCGTGCTAGTTTTTGTCACCAAGTTAATTGTGAGCGAGGGGATCGATAAGCCATTGTCACATTTCCAGAGACCCTGCATAAGCCAGCGATTACGAGGAGGAGGATCGTTTTCCCCATTTTACAACGCAGCATCAAGGGTTTATTTCTGTTAAATATTCATTTTATAGTACAGTCAATTTTTATTGATGCACTTGCTCTTCTGAGTTACATTTCAGCTGTCTGTTAAATCAATTGTGGACACATTTTTCTCTGATATATGAAACAAATGTACTTTACATTTGGAAAATTGAGAAAATCGTTGCTTTTTTTAAAAATGCTATTTCCATTAAATTTCATAATGCAAGTAACACGATATACTATTTATTTTTGGAAGATAATCCCACGAAAATAAATAAAACATCAATAAATGAGTGGGAGCCCTTAAAATTTAGGACTGACAATATCTTAAATATCTGTCGAAACGACGACCAGTAGCTATAAAACACCTACAGAAAGTAAAACGTGGAGCACCATCAGCAAAATAAAATATATATCTGAATGAAAACATCTGAATTTACCTATATCATGGTCCTATCTCTTTACTTGACTGCCAGCACAATACATGAACTTGTACTAGAGTGTAACTTCGTGTGTAATGTTATCGGGATGAACACCAAAGTTCTTATCTCAGCGAATTAAACCTAATTTTCAAAACCCTGCCGTTTTACTGTTTTTAATTTGAAGATTAAGACTAAGAGGCATTTTCATGGTAGCGTCTTTCGCAGAGTTTCAAAGTTCTGAAGGCCACTTTGAATTTCATGTCATCAATTGTTTCTCTGAATGCTGAGCAAGAAGCTTAAGTGTTTGAAAAATAATAAGGCTACTTGACATTTAAACGATGTGATATTAAATAATATCAAAAGAATAAAGTTTCATATAAAAAAATAATAATCTAAGAAGGTCGCAAGAGAGATGCCACACTAACAAAAATATAACAGTGTAATTGTATAAACAATATAAAGGTAAATATCAAATCTCTCTCTCTCTCGTTCTCTCTCTCTCTCTCTCTCTCTCTCTCTCTCTTGTGATACTTACTAGCTTGTGTTATAGTAGAACTAATGTCCAGTTTATTTGAAGATAATCCTTTTATGCACCACCAAAGCTCTGTTTCCTGGTAAAATCATGCGGCTGCCTAGAGGAAACAGTTGTCCGTTTTTGGAATAGTCCTTTCACTCTGCTAATGTCAACTGCTTGTTCTAGGGCTGTCGTCTGCTGTGTAAAGGGAATTAATATCCTGATGATAACATACACATAATACGAGGAGTTTGTAGTAATTATCAATCGATCCAAAGTAGCCAATGAAAATATGACGTTGTCTCGCCCAGGCTTAGGAATACTATAACGTGAAGGGAGTGGGTGACTGGGTAAGGCTGTATCTTCAGTACTCGTTTGATTCTGGTTAGGCCCCCTGGGTATAACGTAACGCGCCGAGCAGAAAATCTGTAAAATATTGAAAAAAGAAGACTTAATAAATTACTGTGTTCTGAGGATATGTTTCTGACGATAATTGCTTTGTCGCTGATTATCTTCAGAAACTTTTTTTAACCTTTAGCCATTAAATCAGAAATTATAAACGGTAATTATATATGCTAATATCCTACGTTGATCTCGATTGAAAAAAAAAGTGAAAACTGCTGTTTTAAGTAGCCTGTATATTTTATTTGATGCATTTGATCGATTTGCTTCAATGGGGCGGTATAAAATCTGCGCTTCGTTTGCATAAATGTGAAATCCTATTTTATTGTCAATGATCAATAGAATATTAAGTATATTCACCTGGATACACATTTCATTGAAGCAATTACAAAGGTACTTAAACTGTCATTTTACGGCAAGTGTAATTAGTTCGCCTGAATGAAAACTGAAAATTATGGGATTTTTTTCTATCATATATTCACAAAAGTACAATGAATTCTATACCCGGAGTATCTTTTTTAATCATTACTCGATAGATGAAAAACTAGTATATGAGAATAAAATAAAACAGTCGTAAATCTTTGATTATAGCACTTGTTTACTTATTCAAAGTAGATAAACGATTCATTAAATGAATGGTCATCAATTCATTTATGATAATTTACTGCGTAAATATCCATAACCACACACACACAGTATTAGTACATTTTAAAATCTGGAAATATGGTGTATAAATGAGGCTATATGTCACTTTCATCTGTTCCCTGATTGTACGGTGAAACTTGATGGAAAGTCGTTTGGGTCCAATTATACCGCTGGGTACGAACGAGACGCCAGCTGTTATCGACGTACACAGTAGAAACATCTATTACTGTATTTCATTGTAACTTTGACAAATTTATATTTAAGAATGGACCCCATGTGTCGAATTTCCGAATGAAATAAAATTACTATATTTGGGAGTTATGAGATTGTATCTGTTGTTTAGTATGGGCATGTCATCGATATTACCCAGTTTAGACAAAATCCACCTGAATTTTATCACCTGTTGATTTTCCAACTAAAACTGCTACCTAAGCAAACTGTATAGTGTTGTATTATTATAATACAAGGTGTTTTATTGATCACTTCCCCCACTTTAACAGCCCCGAACTTGCGAGTTGTATATTTTAACGATAATTCAATACATATTCATTAATGTACATCTCTTAATACCTTGTGCTTACGTGGGATTATTACCTTACGATCTTAAGTTTCAGAAACCCTTCACAAGGACCCCATTATTTATAAGTACATTGCCTTAGAAACAAATTAAGCAGATCAAAAAGTGATAAAGAGAGGATTATACCCTCGAAAATTGATATTGCTGTTGGAGTCGAATAGTGGCCGCGGGTATAAACTGCAGAACGGACAATTGATGATAAATGTATTGGTGGCCTAAAGCATGGACGACAGGTGTGAACATCTAAGTAATTTTGTTTCTATGCTGTGACACGAGTGAAGTAGACCATTAGATATTGATAATTTTATATAATTTGTCCAGACTCTGACATTTGCTCTGATTTGTTCCTCGTTGGCCTTGAACCCTAAATTTGGAGAAATTAGGCTCCGATTTCAAGCTAAATGTCCTTGGTTTAGTTCCAAGAAATTAGAGCCAGTTTACATAGACCTGATATTAAAATACCTCATCTATCACATAGCTGAAATCCATTTTTCTCCTTTTTTATGAATGAACGTATTTAGCTTTCAGTTGGTTGAGCAGGGCTACACGTGGCAACTGTTTCCACTGAAGTCGCGACTCTCGACGAAGGAAGGAAATAGTGTGCTGATAGTTATCAAACCCCTTAATAACCCAGAGATTTATTTGTGTAATTGTATATAGATTACTAAATTTGGATGATTGCTTGTACTCATTATTTCGTGGTTCGGTGTCCTTGCAATAAGAGTCGAATTTTATCTGATTTGCAGCCAAAGTCTCAAGGTCACTCCCCGTTATAAATGGTAAATAAAAGTACAAAATCTCTTTTACCCATGCGCAACATAAAAAAATATATTTATAGAAAGTGTGCATCTACATGTACCTGTATATACAGTATACATATTCTATTTTAAAACGAAGAGAACTTGACCTACATGCTTCAAATAGTTAGTTCATCAGACTAGTTTTAATTAGTTTAATTTATTCTAAACGAAATGGTAAAATTATGGAATTTAACGGAACAATATCACATAAGAAAAATTCACGTTTAGAACCCGGAACCTATAAAAGGGGATGTTAATTTATCTTGTCATGCGAATATATCCTTTGGGGTAAAAATTACCAGGTATATCCGTTATACACGTAACATATTTCGATGTAAATAAAAATGTCAACAAAACAGCGAAATGTGTTATTATTTCATTTAAATAAAGCGGATAGATGACTTGACGTCAAAATAAACTTTCGTATTTTTCCTTATCATTAGCTCTATAGCTATGACCCGGATATTCAAATATCGCGATATACATCAAGTTGATTAATTTTTCTTTCATTACAGGTCCACACTTGGATATTATGTTTTGTATAAAAATTTGCTCGCTGTTAAAATTTACAATTATTACATGAAGTAACGAAGTAAATAAACGCAACTGCTCGCGAAGTTTACAACTATTACATAAAAACACAGTAAATAAATGGAAAAGTCTTATTGTTTGCCACCGTTCTAAATAGGCATTCCGATCTGTTCTCTCTTTAATGCACTGATAAGCCGGTATTCTTTACAAGGTAGATTTGCTCAGAACAACAATAATGTTTTTCAACATAAACAGTGAGTCCCCTAAAGACATACATTAATCAAACGGACACCTTACTTTCTCTTTTTGTCTTAACATCAGATTATTCGGACCTGATTGATCACGGGAGATTTGTTCCCATATACCCCATCAGATGGACAGGAAATTAGACATCCCAAAAATATAGCAAAACACTATGATTTTTAAATAAATAAATATATTCAAAGCATTCTCACTCAGAAAAGAATAACAAACCAAATGGACACCAAATTTTAAAAAATTCGAAAAATGGCTAAGTAAAACACATATTCGATGAATGTTGCATCATGGCCTTTAATCATTAATTTATAAGATAGAAAACATTTTCACTCTTATAAAAGTATATAATATACATGTAAGAAGAATCTAGCCTATTACCCCCCTCTCCCTTCAGAAACCCTCAATTGTGTCTATGCCTTTGACTTCACGAGTTGAAACACGAAACTAAGCTGTGGGCTGTGAAAACACAATAAAGATTATTGATAATTATTGAAACAAGAAGCAAGCAATCGTGGGAGAATGGATAGGACTGAAAAATAGACTTTGTTAATTTATCTCAAATTTTGTCACTGTAAATATCAAAAAGCCACAGTTTTGTAAACAAAAATATAAAAATTCTTATTTCTTTGACAAAAATAAAGGACTTCTGCGTTTCAGTTACAAACAGTATGCTATGGACCTATTCTTTGAAGAGAGGCTTAAGCCTGTCCACTTCTCTTAAGAGGGATGGGTGATTGTGGCCATTTTCAGACTAATTTGATCTCCTATACAAGAAGAGCTCCATATAAAGATATACTAGTAATTTGAACAAATTGTATGAAATTTTCATTTCCAAAATGATAGTTGACAGCTTAAGATACCATATCTAAAAAAAGGTGTATCTGATGATTAATTTGGCCCCCCCCCCTCCCAGCCTCCTTTAGAATAGCTGGACCTCGTACTGATAGCCAGTAAAGATGGGTCGATTTTGATTTCAATATACAATATAGTTCTAGTCTCAACATAAACGAATGAAGATTGATAAAGTAAATAATCATTTCTTTGATCAATATAGATCTTGGTAACAAATGAGATAATATATATTAACTATTTTTTTTAAAATACTTGTAAGCTTGCAATAGGTAGTGTGTCGTCAAAGTCTTGTAAATGCTACACGTTCATTTTGTGTCGGTAACGTGCTCAGCATTTCTGAAAGCCGTGTTTTGCCCAGTAGACGGAAAAATTATGCAAATCTAGCGTTATTATTTCAAAATACGATCAGTGATAAGGGGGAAACAAATGTCAGTTTCTGATTAATTGACATAAAAATAGGCCTGTCCCTCTCTTTTTAAGGAGACTGTAAATTACCAAACAACCGTAATCGCTTTCTGCGGCCAAGTGAATTTTTTAATCTGTTCAGGAAATTAACTAATTAATTATCATTTAAATGAAGCAAAAGAAATTAATTGACATTTTGAAAAAGCAATTTTAATTACGAATTAGAATTCGTGGAATCTGCAACGACATTGATAACGGAATCATAAGTCATTATTAACCGCACATGCTGATACCATTCTGTCTTAATTGTCTCTGGCTCCCGTGAGAGATTCGATCAGACGATAGCACGTCCTGCAATTTGCGGTAACCCATCAGTAATGTACACAGATACACCGATGTTCGAGATTTTCATGACATTTTCCCCGTAATTTGAAAACTATACACACGAAACCAAAAAACGTCATCAAACGAGTTATCTCATAGGTGTGCCATCGAACATCACGCCGTTTTAATACAATATCGCAAAAAACTACACGAGGACAAATAATCCCCATCGAATTATTATGTTTGTTACTACAGGTTCAATTAATCGCTTAAAACAGGCCATCAACAGTTTCTGTTTTCAAGTCTTTAATCAATGGACCTATCAAATATTCCCCAGGGCACGAACAGCCTCAATTGGCCTGAAGTATGCATTAACTCGCCATAATGCTCAATCAATTCATTTATCCCACTAACTTGCTAAATACTTGAGCCGGTATGTGCTCAGCTGTTCATTGTGAACCATTTGTTCGGGCGCACATGTCGCAGGCCGCAACAAGTGAGCCATCAAAATGACTTGAAATGGCAGAAATTTTAACCCAAAACAGGACACGCACAATGTGTAATAGATTTCACAAATAAAAATAGCGAAATAATTCTCTAGAGTGGCAAGGGATCAATAATAGCTCCGTATT